TCTATATGGTTGAACACGGCGATCCCGAGATCCTGATTAACAAGTACCACGGAAGTCTACTGCTCAGGCATCAAAAATGATCTCCGAGCTGATAAAACCTATATCTTTGCTGGGCTATAAAAAATGAGTGTTCTATATCTTCACGTGCAGTCACCAGAATGTTTGAATAATTTTTGCTGATTTGATAATTTTGTCATCATCTAATAGCTGAGCTCATTGCGTCATCAACTTGATTTTCATTCAGGAACGGACAGTACTGTTGAAGATTTTCCGCAATTCACTTTCATTACAGGTTCTACGAACATGCGTGATCATAACACGATAATAATCTTATTGTTGTTATTAGCCGCTTTGCTTGATGCTATCGAAAGGTAATAATTACTATTCATCTATGCAAATGAGAGCACTTTTCATTATTCGATGTGTTGATTAGAAACTCGTCGGTAATGAATTAAATCGGTTCAAATATCCTATCGAAATCATTACTTAGGACGCCCAGAGATAATCAATTCGATGAGATTTCAATTGCGACCATCCAAAAATTTTTTCTGTCTAGTTTGGACAATTTCTCAACATATTTTCACTCTGTTCAAGTAATCAAATGAACTTTTATGCTTTGAAAATGACGCATTAGCAATCAGTCACACATGTAGATATAGGTGACGACTTTAGTGGATTCATTGCTCGCTGTAAATATCTTGATAGCGATTTATTCCACTGAACAGGTTCCCGCTGAGAAGAAAACGTGATATTCGAGTTCTACGCAGTACTGACTACAAAACCAAAGTAATCGCTGAATATGTACGACAAAAGTATAGCCACTGCAAGGCAGAGAAGACAGAGCTGTCGAAAGGATTCTCGATAACACTCAGTAATTATGGAGATACACAATATGCTGGACCGATCACGATTGGTACCCCGCCACAGCAATTTCAGGTCTCCTCTAAAAATCCTTCATCAAATCATGTGATTTGTATCGATTGCTGCTGAAATGCACCAGATTACACCTCTCATACAATTGTTTACTCCATTCATCAGTTGCTCGTTTGCAAATAACTGTTCGCAAGATTTGTTTTGGAAAAAAAACGCAACAAGCACATCTCGCTGCTTTCACCGAATAGAATGCTCTGTAGTTCTCTAAGAAGGCAGAGTTGATCTTTATGAATGTTAGTCAATTACAGATTTCCTAGCATGAGAAATGCATTGTTACAGTTTTGCACATTAATTGAATCATCGGAATTCGAAAATCACACTTATTTCCGTTTTCAAAAACAACATTGCTCTGTACACAACTTCATTTCCGTACGAAAAACACTTTTCAATAATAGTTCAATTGAACACATGTGTTTTATTTGAGTTTATAACAGTTTCACAGGTGCTTATAAACTATTAATATATGTATGTATGCACGCAGATGAAAGCTTTTATGTGGTATATTTGTTGAGAGCCAAACTCGTGTTGGAACAGAATGAAACAAAGAGTTGAATAGCATTTGAAAGCGTTTTTGCCGTTCGATAGCTGGGTTCCGTTTGAAATGAATGCAGAAAATCATAGGAAAAGTTTTCAGTTGTATTCGGTGAATGTATTTGGGAACAATACAAGACAAAAAACGTACATAGTGCAATGAATATTGCTGTAAAACTGATGGAAAAATTTTTATTCCTAGTGAAAATTCGCAGAATTAAAATGATGAACACATGAACAGACGGATAATGTGCACGAATCGTTCTTTGTTAACTGAAGTAATCTTTAGAGGATGAATTCATGAATTCTATTGCGATAAATCGTCGCGCTTCAGGTACTATTCGACACAGGCTCGTCGAATTTATGGGTACCATGCTCGGATTGTTCAATATTCGACAGTGCATGCCAGA